GCTTTGTTGTGTGAAATGTTTTCTTTGTTTTTTTAATTTAATGAATAAATAAATTTGAGTTGACTTTTTTATTTTAATTTTTTTTTTTAAAAATACACATTTTTCTGTCACGCTGAGAGTGAACTGTCACATCATAATCTGTACCAGATCAACTCTGGTTGCCCCGAGGGGGAAGCCCCCCCATCAGCCGTGCTGCATCGAGGCTCCTAACAGTGAACTGAAAATGTGGGGTTTGTTTAAACCACAGGAAGGAGGAATAACTTCACGCCCGCCCCTGATGTCTGGAGCATTTTCTCCACTTTTCATTTTTAATTTCACACATTTTCAAGGGCAGCATCTGAACCTGTGTCTGTCCCGTCTCCCCCCGCTTTCATCTTTTCCTCGCTTCACCTGCTTCGTATTCTCCACCAGGTCCTCACCAAAAGAGCACGAAGAGCTCAGGAGAGGGAGGAGGGAGGAGGAGGAGGAGGGCAGACAGTCAGAAACAGATGAAAGATAGATAAAGATAGAAGCTCCGGCTGCTTTACTCACAACATTTCACTGCCTGCATTTCCAGAACCCCTGATCCGGTCCGTTAACGAGCCGCTGCCCGTCCTCATGAATAAACATTAGAAAACTGGAGCGTGGCCCCGCAGACATGACAGCCAGCGCTGCCGGGGGGGACACCGAGCGGTAATCTATCCCCGGGGCTTTCTGCGAGTGGCTCCGTCACTTAGCTCTCTGCGCTGCGTCTGAAAACCACGGCGCCTTTAATCAGCAGCCTTGTTATCTGTTAATAATGATGACAGGTAGCAAACGATAGCTCAGCTCTGTGACCCGGCCCAGGCTCGACACGTCTGCTCCGGGGAGGATGGAAAAGGCTTGTKTGTTWGCAAAATATCTCACCAACAGCTGGTTGTGCATCTATTATCTGTTTTTAAATATTAAGCTGCTTGTTTAAAACTTTTGCACACAGGCGACAGACATTCCTTCAAGTGAAGCTCGATTTATTATTTCAGAGTTSAACCTCATGAAAAACAAATTCCACCGAGCCCCTCGAGGACATGACTTCCTCAGCCTCCCCCCTTCAGGCTGTGCTTCTGTCTCCTCCACCAGCTGCGCCTGCCCCCCTCCTCTGTCA